TGATGAAATTAGCTTGACACTGACAGAAAGTTAACCTTAATTAATTGTATCAAAGTCACGTTGTGGGACATTTGGGTCTGGAGTCCAGACCCAAATGTGCCAGACTCTGGTAGTAGTAATGTAGTATTGTAGGTAGGTAATACAAGTGTAGCCATCTATACAATTTTATATCAAAAAGTGCAATGTATCATAAGGCCTACCCATGTATTTTTACAGAATATTAGGTCTTATTTTTTTTTAATTAAGTACATGACTAGTATTCATCTTTCCTAATTAAATCTTTATAGAGCATTGTATTGATGAAAACATGTTAGTAAGTTTAAACGAATCCAAACTGCAAGAACTAATTCCACAAATAGGACTGCAACACAGACTTAAAGAGAAACTGGACCTTTATCGTTCACTTAATGTAAACTTTTAAGAACAAATATTTGTAACTAACAAACTACCCTTTTAAAATCTACTAACAAAAATATGTGACGCGATGAATGAATGAATGAATATGCAAATGGCTTTTTAATTTTGATGATTTTCATTGTAAAATTTTTGTATTAATAAACTTTTAATATTTGTAGTGTGCTCAAATTGTGACCGATCCCTTACCATTTTTAAGTGAATCAACCCTAAATTACTTAGGTGTACATAACATTATCATCGAAAACGATAAGTCTTCTGAGGTTTCTATAAACCAAAATTAACATAAATTAAGTACCGAAGTATTTTTGTTTTAGTCTGGTGTGTCAAATATTTGTACTGGATAAAATATTTCACGTGCTGCGTCAACATCGGTTTCAACACCAATTGATGATGTTGAAACCTTATCGCCCAGTCCAGCACCCTCAATTCATAACCCTATCAGTTGTCATTCTGAAATTTACACTTTTTTATGCAATAGCAGTCGTGAAATAATCCAGGACTATGCAATAAACAATCGTGTAAATCGGAATCTACTAGTACGATTATTAATAGGCCGTGAACTTGAAGCAGATCCGGATAAAAGGTGTTTTAAAAATGAAAAACTTATAAAGTTTTTAATTTTATATTTTAGAATAACCAAGGAGCGATTTGAAAGCTTAGCAAAACAAATTTGCATTGATTTTAAGACCGAAAACAAAAGTATTTATTATATTCCTGCATACCGAGATGCAAAAGGTAAACCAGTAGCTGCACAAGGAAAATTATGGGACCGCTATTCAAATACAAGAAAGAAGTATATTGCTCTTCAAATTATTAAATCAAAAAGAAAAACAAGTGAAGAGCGTTCTGATGATCCAACTAAGGGTAATACTAAGTTCAAAAGCATATGATATCTATATAATACTTCACTAATTCTTATTTATTTGTAGAAATTGTTCCAGACGAACAAACTATTGAAAAATTAAATTGGTTGAGATATAACTGTGAGCCATGGGAGCAAGTCACAACTTACTGGCATAACACTTTAAACATACGAAGGCAAAAATTTATTAAAGAGGAAACTCCCATTCATGTTTATTTCAAGAATTTTCCAGCTCTTTCAAAACCGTTAGGATACACTTTGGTAAGTAGGTAGCAATAGGGTGTTTCAAAATAAGGCAATATTTTTTGTTTCATATTCTCCTCACTTATGCTAAAAAAATTCTGTCAAAATTTGAGCTCTTAATATTAATTTTAAAAGGTCCAACATCGAATTTAAAGTTTTCCCATTGATTTAACATGGAAAAATAGTTTTTTAAGATTTATTCTGCCTGCATGCTATGTAGAACTTTTTTTTTGATAAACAATCACTGGTCCTTTTTAAGCATTAAATTATCTACAAAAAATCCAGTTAGTATATTCAACTGTTCTAAAAAAAATTGATATTTTTACTTTTAGTGGCTAAACTACTATTCATAGCGCTAAGTTCACAAAATTCAAACATTTAAATTGCCTTTTTTTTAACCGTACCTTCATTTGCAAGCTATACATAGGGAAAATACATTGTAGGTGGACCAGACAAGTTGAAGTCAGCGCAAAGCGAAAAAGTTCTCAGAAACTATTTGGACGTAATAAAATTTTAATCGCCAGTAAACAAGGTCACCTGTTACGTCGCATGTTAGTCTACTCATCCACTCGTCAAAATAATTTCTGGGAACATTTTCGTTTCGCGCTGACCGCGCCGACTTCGACTTGTCTGTTCCACCTACAATGTATTTTCCCTATGTACTATTGCCGCCGATAAAAAGTAATCGATTCTTTATCAAGTTGCATGTTTTTCTTAAAAATTGGCTATTGTAAGTAGGGTTTTTTACGTCAGGCATGTCAATTAAATTATTTTGACAAGAAATCATAGGTGTATGACATATTTAATTTTTTAATAAAAAAAAACTTAAATTATATAAAGCATGTTTATTCGTAATACAAACAAAAAGAACAAATTATTTATTGGGCGACCAAAATATATAAATTTAAACTTAAAAAGAAATAGTATACTACGACTATAACAATTATAAAAGATGAGCCAACCAGGGTTGGATGGGCTCAGAAAAACCGGCCCTGGCAATTTTTTCATTCAGCCCTCCCTCGGGCATTATCTTACATAATCTTTCACATTTGTAATGCTATAAAAACTCAATTTAAAAAAAATAATTAATACTTGGTAGAACCACCATTCTTCTCTATAACATTTTGTAATCTCCTAGGCATGGAACTAATTAAATTTTGCATATCGTAATTTTCTTCCAAATTGTTCCACTCATTTTGAATTGCATTAATAAGGTCTTCTCTATTTCTTGGTCTAAATTCATATTTATATATTTTTTTACGAGATATCCCCAAATATTTTTGATTGGGTTTAAATCGGGGCTTCTTGACGGCCAAGGAAGCATTGTAATGTGATTTTCTTCTAGCCAATTATGAACCACATGAGCAGTGTGAACTGGCGAATTATCCTTAAAATGAAAAAAATATATTTTTTTGATCAGGAAAGATAAATCATAAAGTGTTACGTTTTGAAACACAAAATCATTATCAAATCTTTCTTGCACTGACGGGAGCATTACATCGTTTAAAATTTCCACGTATCGGTTCCGAGTTAATCGGCCTTCTACAATATGAATTATACCAGCCCCTGAAGATGATATCCACGCCCACACGTGGACAGAAAATCTTCCGCTGTTGTCAGTTTTGTGGAGGTATTCTTCATCAAACTTATGGTTTCTGGGACGATAAACTCGCAGTTGCCCATGGTAGCAGGATTGAAATATTTTTTAATCTAAAAAGACTACTCGCTCCCAATATTCAGCGTTTTGATTTAAAAAATTATTTGCAAACTCCACTCTTGCCTCTTTATTAACATCCGTCAAGCGAGGCTTTTTAGCACTCACGCAGTTAAATAAACCTTGTTCTCGCAACCGTTTTCTTGCCGTCCTAACAGATGGTTTCCTGGTTTCCATGGTTTCCATGGTTTCCTCTTTGGCTTGAATGGAGTTAGAAAACGGGTTTTGCCTCACATATTCAACCAACTCGTTGTCGTTTACTGGAGTTGTCTTTCTTGGACGCCCAGAACCCATTACCCTACTCAGGTCACCAGTTTTCACCCACTTTTTGTTTAATTTTTGAATAGCGCTTTTGCTGCAGTTTATTTCATCTGCTATTTGTTGTTGAGACCATCCTTCTCCAATTTTGGCGATAATATAGCCTTTCTCTGCTTCACTTAAAGTATGGTAATGACTTTACTTAATTTAGGATGACGTTACTTAATTTTATAAAATTATTTTTGAAATGCCACTGGTGACAACCATATTTACAACGGGAAAATTATTCGATTACTTTTTATCGGCCGCAATAGTACCTATAACTTGCAAATGAAGGTACGGTATATGGTAGGTATACATCTTATATCTTTTGTAATGCATGTGTATACACGTATATATATACTATAGTATATAGCATATTATAATAATATCTAGTAGGTATTCATTAGGGTGGAGCGAAAAAAAAAATTTTTTTTTCCTTAGCCTGGGGGTGGAATTTGTAGCCTATAAAAAAAGAAAATTTTTGAAATAAAAAAAAAAATTTTTACTCAACGTCTTGAGGTGGCCCACCGATTTTTTAAATTAAATTTAAGTTAAAATAAAAAAATTTTTTTATAAGTGTTCCGGAAACTGCGGAGTGTCTTCTTTCTTGCTAATTAACATTTATGAACTTTTTGTGGTCATTATTGTTGTTTTTAAAATAAATTTGAAGATTACAAGCCAAAAAAATTTTTTTTTTATTCAAAAGAATTTTAACTTAAATTTAATTTAAAAAATCAGTGGGCCACCTCAAGACGTTGAGTAAAAATTTTTTTTTTTCAAAAATTTTCTTTTTTTATAGGCTACAAATTCCACCCCCAGGCTAAGGAAAGTATTAAGTAGTTTACTGTGGGAAAGGAACATTTGTGATAGGTGACTCTTTGTTATTATTTAGAAGAAGCCATTACGCTTCAAGTGCTGCAAGTCCTCGACCCGCCAAGTCTTTGTCAAATTATCCCCAAATTAGGAGAGAGATTTGCTGTCATAAAAAAAAATTAACGAGTTACGAGAGAATCAGCATCAACAGGTGATTAAGTTATTTTGTTATCCTTTTTTTTCCTACTCTTTTTGGTTTAGTTTGCATATTTTTTGTTCTTAGTTAAATGTGATATGATTTAATTATGTGTATATATGTTATACATGTTTTTAGTTTTTTTTTAATATATTCTGTAAATGGGTCTAGGCCTGTAGAATATTAATTAAATAAATAAATAAATAATAAAGAAGCAACTCAGCAGTCATTGGTAATGTTATAAAAAAATTATAAAAATCTTATAAAACATCGGAATAAGTTAATAAAAAAACATATAAAGGTCAAATTAATAAAAAATAAAAATTTAAGTTTGATTTCCGAATTTTTTATAAGGAATTTTTTTTAACTAAAAGTTTATGAAATTTTTTTAAAAAATTCAGAAGTTTTTACAGGAAACTTATAAGTTTTAACTGTTGTTAATTAATCTATTTTAGTTCATAGATGTTGAAGGAAAAACATACTCTGTAACCCCAGTTAATTCTCTAACACCTGCAGACGAAGATCTGCATGAAGTAGAAGATTTTGTATGTGGCAACACCAATGCTGAGACTGGCGCCGTCAGTATTATGTAAGTTTTTTGGCCAAATTATTTTTTATTTATTAAACTACTTTACACTTTATACTAAAACTTCATTATCTATAATTAAAGCTCAAGCTCTCAAAATGAGCTTTCATTTAACTTAAGCTTTCCAACTGAAGCCCGACCAAGCACTTCAAGCTCAAGCAAAAGAGAAGCTTCTCCATCGCCAACTATCAGCTCCTTTTCGTGTGGAGGAAAGAAGAGAAAAATATTCTCCCCTGGAGACTTCAATTTGAGAGAATTGCTGAAGAAGACATTGATAGGAAAAGCAATAATTAATTTGTACAAGGAACAGGATTATTTGGATTCCCGTTGCCAAAGTTATCTTGTGGAGATTATTACATCACATTTTTTTAATGAGGAATACGAGAAAGTAGGTACAATATTTTTTTTATAATAAAATTGAAAAAACGCTGACGCGTGTCTCTATATACATATATATGGTATACCTATAAGTATGTAAAATTCACAAAATTCAAACATTTCAATTGCCTTTTTTTATATATGGTAGGTAGGATATATATATATATATATATATATATATATATTAGGGTGAGCCAAAAAAACTAACCTATCGGATTTATGGGTTAAAATGAACCTACATACCGAGCAAAAAATTTTCCTGCAAGGAAAAATTTTTTACTCAATTTTAAAAGGTGTCGGTGAGCATTTTAAGTTTTCCATTGAAATAACACGTAAAAAAATCTTTTTTCATTAAAAAAAATATAACTTTTGAACCGTTTGAGATAAAAATTTTTATGTCGCGGATTCTTGTAGAGCATAAAATTTCTTACAAAATCTATCCCAGAATTATTCTTTTTCAATTTAAAAATTCGTATATTTGAAAGCTTTGAAAAGTGAAAAAAATCATAATATTTAGTTTTAGTGTTTTTTGACTAAAAAAGTTCATTAGGGTGTTTCATTTAAAACGAAAAATTTTTTTTTCTTGCTGACACATGAAAATTTCGGTTTTTAGGTTGAAAAAAAAATTTCCTGAAAATTTGAGCACTTAATTTTGATTCTAAGTACTTCCTTTTTAATTTTGTAGTTTTTCCATATAAAAAGCATGTATTTTTAATCATTTTTACTTTAAATTTCTATATTTTGGCTGGGTTTTGAATTATAATTTTTATCACCATAATTTTCTGGTTTCATATTCACGGTTTTTGAAAGGCCCTGCATCAATTTTGTTTTTGATTTATTTACGTTGTTTGTAGTAGCTCCAAAAGTCGTTTTTTTCACTTTTTCTCACATATTTTTGAGAAAATCCATCGAATGACTGGTTTTACCCAAAAAGTTCAAATAAAAAAGTTGTAGGAAATTTAATTTTTGACAAAAAAGGTTCTTACGTTCATATCACTAAAGTGCTTTGTTTAAGAGATATAAGCAATTCAATAACCAAAAACAAAGAAAAAATAGGTTTTATTGAAATTTATGTAATTTCATTCAACAACTATATATTGCTTATATCTCTTAAACAAAGCACTTTAGTGATATGAACGTATAAACCTTTTTAGTCAAAAATTAAATTTTCTACAACTTTTTTATTTGAACTTTTTCGGTAAAACCAGTCATTCGCTCGATTTTCTCAAAAATATGAGAAAAAGTGAAAAAACGACTTTTGGAGCTACTACAATCAACGTAAATAAATCAAAAACAAAATTGATGCAGGGCCTTTATTATGGTGATAAAAATTATAATTCAAAACCCGCCCAAAATATAGAAATTTAAAGTAAAAATGATTAAAAATACATGCTTTTTATATGGAAAAACTACAAAATTAAAAAGGAAGTACTTAGAATCAAAATTAAGGGCTCAAATTTTCAGGGAATTTTTTTTTCAACCTAAAAACCGAAATTTTCATGTGTCAGCAGGAAAAAAAAATTTTCGTTTTAAATGAAACACCCTAATGAACATTTTTAGTCAAAAAACACTAAAACCAAATATTATGATTTTTTTCACTTTTCAAAGCTTTCAAATATACGAATTTTTAAATTGAAAAAAAATAATTCTGGGATAGATTTTGTAGGAAATTTTATGCTCTACAAGAATCCGTGACGTAAAAATTTTTATCTCAAACGGTTCAAAAGTTATATTTTTTTTAATGAAAAAAGATTTTTTTACGTGTTATTTCAATGGAAAACTTAGAATGCTCACCGACACCTTTTAAAATTGAGCAAAAAATTTTTCCTTGCAGGAAAATTTTTTGCTCGGTATGTAGGTTAATTTTAACCCATAAATCCGATAGGTTAGTTTTTTTGGCTCACCCTAATATATATAATATACATTTATTTTTATGATATAACGATACAACTTTTCCCCAATTTAACCGACTTTGTAGCTCTTTAAATAAAATATATCCATAGAAGTATCCTTCTATAGGTGTTTTTTGAAGATCTGCAAGGTCAGTTAAATTAGAGAAAAGTTTTCTACAAGTGTATTAAAATGAAATTTATAAATTGGAAAAAGACAAATATTGGAATAAAACTAAATATTAAAAACCAAAAATAGTTATATCTTTGTTACTCCTGCGAATTAAAAAAAGTGAGTTTATATTTATCTTTTAAGTTACTATCACCACCTTTTGTTTACATAATGAAAGCCATAATTGTTTCTATTTAATCATGTATAATACCAATATGAAAATCAAAAGATGATTATGGTAACTCAAAATCTAGTAGACGAAAAAAAATTAAAATGTAGATAAATGTGTGTTTAAATGTGAATCTTACTTTTTTCAAAATTCAAATTCAAAAGTAAGAAGTAACGACGATTTTTGGTTTTGACATGTCAAAAACCTGCAGGTTTTTACTTTTTTTTTTTAATTTTTTACATGCCCAAATTTTTTCCCAATTTTTAAATGCTATTTTAATAGACTTGTATTAACGCAATTTTTGTCTAATTTAACCGTCCTTGTAGCTCTTCAAATAAAAAAAATACCCATACATAGAAGGATACTTGGTACCTTGTATATACAGATTTAAAGTGATGTAGCTACGCGAAAACTGGACCAGGGCCCCGCTTGAACGAACAGCCTCCTCATCGGTGGATCGGGCCCAACAATTTGGCACTTCATCTATGGTCAACAGGTTCAACCGCTCTCACAGTGTGCGACTTCTTTTTCTGGGGCTTTATAAAAGATAAAGTTTATGAGCCCCAAGATTTGTAAAAACTAAAGACACGAATTGGAACTGGCATTGATGAAATTACCACTGAGACCCTTCGGTTGGTATGGAAAACGTTCGAGTATTTACTAGATGTTTGCAGCTGGAGGAGGTCATATTAAACTCTTGTAAGCATACAGTTCAAAACTTAATTATATTACAAATGTTTTGTGCTTTCCATGTTTTTTCACATAAATATAGCATTTTGAATTTTTGATCTACAGGGTTATAATTAAAGATGGGATATTTAGGTACTAAAAAATGAAAAATAGGTAACTAAAAAGGTACTAAAAAAAGCATTTTAGGTTAAAAAAACAGCATTTTAGGTAAAAAAAAAAACATTAAAAGTTCAAGTTTCGTTTATAATTTTGTTTAGCCGTATACCCAAACACAGAACATACCCACAATTAACTATTTCTATGCAATAAACTGTGTTTCACTGAGTGACACTTACTACACAGAAGTTCTATGACAGAACATAAGCTCACTACAAAGAAGGAAACTGTAAAGAAAGTTACTGTTACAGTCTGTGACCATAAGAAAAAATCCTATACCGTTGAGTTGCATGCCTGGATAAAATATTGGCGCAAAATTTAAAAAGAACACAAAAAAATAAAATAAGTAAAAATACGTAAAAATAGGTAACAAATAGGTGAAAATAAACTGACAAATTAAAAAATATGTAAAAAAGTATAAAAAGGTAGTTTAAAGCAAAAACCTCCAAAAAAGGTAAAAAAGGTGAAAACAAGTTAAAAATATAGGTAACAAAAGTATAAAAAAGGTGGTTTAAAGCAAAAACCTCCAAAAAAGGTAAAAAAGGTGAAAACAAGTTAGGTTCATATAAAAGAAAATCTTTTAAAACACATTTTGGCATTATTGGTTTTCAAATAGTTACATCGGTTAAAAAAAGGTAAAATAACTAAAATCCCATCCCTAGTTATAATCTTTTACAGTAATTTCATAATTATTTGTTCTGAACGTCTGACATTTTTAACGTACAATTGGCGTCTCCAAAATGTTCATTCCTGGCTTCGGCCAGTGGTGTTACATATAGAAGGGAGAATACTAAGAATAAGAACAATATCCTAAATCGTTCTATTTTTTTAATAATATTTTAACAAAAAATAATATAAACAATATAACAAATAAATTAACTTTAATTTGGTTTTATACAACAATATAAATTAACAAGTAGGTAAATACACAATAAAAATAACATAACTAAATTAACATATTACTCAAGAAAATTGGTTTTTAAGTGAAATAGCTGCAGATTTAAATGTCAGTAAAAGCTGCATATTTTATATCAAAAAACGTTGGCAAGAACAACAAAGATTGAGAAGACCTATCAGGCAAGGTGTAGGTAAAATCTCCAACGAAAATGAAGACAATGCTCTGGTCGTACTTATTAGGCAAAATCCTTTCAATAGCGCATTTAAAGCCCGAGAAGATACACAATTTCCAGGATCTCTCCGAACAGCTCAAAAAATATTAAAACAAGCTGCCTTAAAAAACTCTGCTGCTAAGCTATTTTAATACTTAATTGCAGAGCCATTAGCTGCCACAACCCTTTGCAACCTTCTTGGCATGCACATTATTAGCTCACGCATGTCGTATGACTCAGCAAGCTCAAGAATTTTCAACAGCACTCCATAGTTCATCTCGGTTTGCTGGCCTAAAGTCCCGTTGATATATATTTTTTACTATAAAACCCCACACGTTTTCAATGGGGTTTAAGTCAGGGCTTCTAGCTGGCCATGGCAAAACAGTTATATGGTTGTTTACCCACTCTGCAACTACGCGAGCTGTGTGAACTAGTGCATTGTCCTGTAATATAATATTTATTAGAATCGTTTTTGAATACTATACAGTTTTCTTACATGTTGGAATATAAAGTTTTCTGGAAACACATGTCTAACTGAAGGTAGCATAACGTTGTCCAAAATCCTCGTATAGTGCTCAGCCGTTAATCTACCATCAATTTCCCAACATACTCCCGGACCATGGATGCTTATCCACGCCCAAACATTTATGGAAAAGCGTCCACTATTTGAGGTTCTTACAGTATAGTTCTCCTCAAATCTTGCGTTTCTTGGACGATATACACGCAGCCTTCCATTACTGCAAGATTGGAACGTTTTTTCATCCGAAAATATAACATTATTCCAAAAATCGTCTCCATAATTTATATAGTCATTAGCGAACTGAACTCTCCTGCGCCTATTTTCGTCAG